TTAATCACAGACCTGTAAACGAGAAATGAAGAATTAACAGATCTGCTGCTAGACCTTGTTATCGAGTCTCGGTGAATATTTCCTAACTTTTATTTTCGAATGAAAAAACTGTTGTTAGAGGATGAGACGGTGGTGTAGAAGGTTGCTAATGTGTTTAAGAAAAGTTGTTGAGGGGGCAACTGGTCACCTTTTATATCCTCGTTTTCTTTTAAAATTATGCAGGAAGAAAGGAAGTGAATGAGGGCACGATATAGATTGTAACATCACACCACATCAGAGGCGATGGATTTACAGCGTGAATACTAGTGCAGGTCATAGCAGTATCATAGGAGGTATATGAAAGCCTCTTACGAGTGGGCTCAAAACTAGACGTATATATACGCCTTCCGTCTCCAAGGGATTATTCTGAATCAGCGTGGTTGATAACCTATAATTCACTAAGTTTGGTGGAAAAGATTTATCAGTTATAGACCTTCCCCAGTGAGAGTCCAATTTAGCGCTGTAAGCCCAATCGTGTCCTTGTTGAACAATGAAATCTTATTAGATCGAAATGACTTGAAGGTCTATCTTGAGACCTTTAGAGGTTCCTGAAGCCTGAAAAGAATGAGAAAAGTGATAAAAGAATACTGTGTTATCACAACCTTTTGTTTTTTCTTTTGCTCTTGACCCTGACTTTCATGCAGAATTCAAATTGGGTATTCGATTCAATTTAATTCCTGAATGGAATCGACTTGAATGAAAATTTTTTCAAAAATCGTCGAATCGAGTTGAATTGAATCGAAAATTTTTCAAAAATCATCCAAACGAGTTGAGTTGAATGGAAAATTTTTTCAAATAGCCTCTACAATAATTTTCATTCAAAACATTTGGGGTTCAGTATTCTCAGCAAACTCTCATTGGCAGTTCTTTTTCTCAATTTTTTGGGGTATTTATCCACGAAAAAAGGCGGTGAATTCTCATTTGAACTTGTTGAGACATCATGTAGTTTTCCAAAAATTATCCATAGCAATATGCATAGGTAGCATATTTGAAAACCTTTTAGTTTATAGAAACATGTCCTCAAGTCTGCTGTTTTGAATGCCCAAAACCGTGGATCTCTATCATCTTTCGTTCAACATACACAAAACAGTCACGTCTGTTGGTTTTGAATTGAATAGCGTAGTTCTGATTAATTTACAAGTCTTACGTATGATGATTTAATATTCTTCTAAAAAACATTCATCCTAATAATGAATAAAATAACGCGTATACTACAAGATCGCTTTATCGGATGTATACTCAGTTTCAAACACATCAATAGATTTCTGCGCTGTAGAATTGTTCTTATAATAATGTCGACATTCTTCTAGCATTTTCGAACAAGCTTTATTCGTAATTTTAGGTTGATACAGTAACACATCTGTCAGAAGTTGAAACCAAATAAATGTGGCTTGCTGTGGATTTAATGAGTTGATTGATATTTCGACTACAGGTATGGTAGATTGAAAGGTACTTGTTGAGAATTCTGCTTTGAAACTAAGAAAGTTATTAGTTCGCTGTGTTAAGCTGTTGTTAGTCATTTTTGTTACGTCCAAGAGAATCTGTTGGAAAAGTTCATTTATATTCACGAAAATGTTGCTCGAGAGTTTAAAATACTGTTTAGTTAATTTTTGTTGACTTGTTTCACTTTTATGTTGGAACTGATAAATTGGGGTTTAGGACAGTTGCTCATGGACACTTCCTCACGGACACTTCCTCACGGACACTTCCTCACGGACACTTCCTCACAAGGATACTTGCTCACGTAGACGGTTCCTCATATGTACCGTTGCTCACACGGACAGTTGCTCACGAGGACAATTGCTCATGAATATTGATATAGTGTGATAAAAAAAAAAATTTATTCAGTAATGATGAGTGAAAGTAGTAATGTGAAAGTAAGTAATGAATTTAAAGTTTGGACAACAATTATAAAGATATTAAACGTCCTATTGCCTCAAGCTGTTCATAAACAGAAGGATGTGGGTTTTCTACTAAGTTATGAAGTCGTTTATGAACTGATATGTATTGTTTTGATGTTGTTGGTGCTTGACCAGATTTTGCTTTGATTATATCTGTATGAAGCATATTTTCTTGTTCTATAAGCTTTTCCAAAAAAGTCTATAAATTTGGATGATTACATAGAAAAGCTGAATTCATTTTTCGATGCCAAGCTTCGACATTATTGTTTGTTTTATGTGTATTATTTAATACTCGATTACGCATATTCCAGAAGTCAATATTGAAAAGAGGTTGTCTTCTGATTGCACCTCGTATTCGTCCTAAAAAGAATTAAAACGAATCAGCTTGTAAAAGAGGGATAATCCTAGAAGAAATCGACTACTTCAGCAAGACTTACCAATATATATATCTTCCATATAATCGAGAATGTCCTGGTAATTATCATCTAAACGTGCGCACAATGTTTCGAAACCATCAATAACAGAATCAGATTCAAGAAAAGCTAAAGCGGGAATTTTATGAATATTATCTGAAAATGTTAAATCAGTTTCGTATTGTTGTTTTAAACCATGAGTCTGAAACGAAAAAAAAGTGTCAACCTTAATCATTTGTTTTTCT